ACTGGCGGAAAGCCCGGGCCCGGTCGCGACTGCTGCGACCCTGGTAGATACGCCAGTGTGTGGAGGGAACCCACCGAACACAGTAGTGACTCATAGTAGCAAAAAGCAGTAAGTGAATGGAAAGTTATGATATTAGTATCAATAAAAAGATACATTTATAATGATTGGTGTGGCACCGTTCTCATTCCTATATCACATTTTGCAGAAAAGTCATGGAGCAGAATCGCACATCACCCCTCGTAATTTTTAATTATTTTGATGTCATTTTTGACCTGAAGCTGTATCTTGGAAACAGGAGCCAAATAATACTCAGGACTTAATTTTCCTTTATTAGTGACCCAATTCTGGTAAAATGTAGCTACTTTTATTTCCGAGGCTTTCTCCTTGTAGACAAGTGCAATCCACCGCATCCCTGCCCCGGGTCGGTATGTTTTTGTACCTGCACCCTTTGGCTTGAAAGTTATTATTGTGACATTTACCACGAGAGGGTTCAAACTAGGGATGCACAGATAGCGATATCGGTGCTGATACCAAGTATTTGGGTGAGTACTCATACTTGCCGAATGCTCTGATACTTTCCCCGATACTAGAACTTCTGGTCAGAGGAAGATTTCCTCTCACCGGCATTGCCGTAGGGGAACATGGAGCCAGCTTCCCGTGCGATCAGGAAGCTGTGCAGCAAGTAATGACCCGCCTCCCAATTTCCTGATTGGCCGGGAAGCCGGCTTGATGCAGATTGCTTAGGAAGCCGGCTTTCCAGCCAGTCAGCATGGAGTCGGCTTCCCGGCCAATCAGGAAGCCGGAAGGCGGGTCATTACTCCCCGCCCTGCTTCCTGATTGCCCGGGAAGCCGGCTGCATGCCAGCGGAAGCACCGTTTATCGGTACTTGGTATCGGCGAGTACGGAAAGCAAAATATCAGTACTCGTACTCGATACCGAAAAACCAATATCGGTGCATCCCTAGTTCAAACCGTGGACCAGAAGCACCAACCACCACGATCTACTCCAAGTGTTATGTTTTGGTGCTGAGATCTGCCACGTACCATGTTGAGCGGGGAAGACAAGTCCCCCAACCCCAATAATGGCTCATCCTCAAAATTCTTACATTTCAGAGGCCATTTACAGTCATTATGCAAACTGTGGTTTGAGACAGATGTAGCCGGGGGTTCGGAAATCTCTCTACAAATGGCAACATCTTCCCTGCAATAGGGGAATGGGATTTTTGCAGGACAAAGGCATTCTTGTTTAGCTATTGCAGGCAGGTAACGTGTCTGCTGTCTGCTCATAAATTATAGCCTTCTCATGTTCCAGCTCTAGACTTGGCGTTCAGAAGTAAACATTCCTCACCTAAACATAACCAGTGGTCTCCGGTACGATGGTGCCATCTGGCAGGGCGTTGGAGGTACAACACTTAGAAGAAGAATGCTTCAAACAGGAATTCGGGCCATCAGGAAATGAATCCAAAGCTAATCCGGAATGCTGCATTGCTAAGAGGTTGGAATGTGTATCTTCTCCGTGTGTAGGAGCTTTATACTGTTTGAATAAAAAGGACAAGAATTGTTCTCTAGAAAGCAATGTAAAAAAAAGTGTCAACATGATATAAATTCATAGATGGGGAAAAAAAATATGACACTAATGTCTGATTCTCCGGGTTTCTCTAAACACTGTTAGAAAGATCCTAAATTACCTTTTGTATCTATGTCTAGTTTTACTATTCTTGAATGATATAGGGGAATAGAAACCATTCCTGGTCATTTTGGCATTACATTAGATGCCGTTTTGGACCTATACTCAGGGCAGGATTTCCCACAAGGCCAACCGAAGCCCGGCCTCGGGGCAGCAGGGAAGGGAGGGGCAGCAGGGGTGTGGAATTCCTATCTCCTGATGCCCGGGACATGCAGTTCTGGGCGCTGGGCGGGTAGTTGTTTTCTACATTTAGCCCTGCTTTGGGCAAACAGAGCTAAATGTACAGCAGGGAAGCCCACGCTTGTTTTGTACAAGTGATCTTGGCGATGCCGCCGAGATCACTTGTATGGGGCCTGCATACAGGGGGGTGCATTGAGGAACCTGGCCTTGGGGCAGCAGAGAGAGTAAATCCAGCCCTGCCTATACTAGGTGATTGTAACTGTATTAGTCTATATTGGCCCTGTATGTATGTGAGATAGGAGTCGTAGATTGGTGTGGGTTTCCTCTGGGTACTCCAGTTTCCTCCCACACTCCCAAATATAAATTTTCACCTTTTAGATGAGTGTGTGTAGTTGGAGCCTTTGCTTCAAGATTCCTTCTCAATTTCCCAGTAACAGGAAACACTGTCTGTCACCACAGGAAGACCAGGGACAGACTCCGCTTCCTCTCATTAACATACAATGTCGCTAGATCTTTAAGCCTTTGTTAGGGCAGAGAGAAAACTCAGTACAGAGACCTTTTCTTTCAGAATAGAGCATGTATTGTAGAAGCAGCAAATTAAAAAAAATATGCTATGTGAATGAGAAACATTATTATCATTACTATACAGGATTATATAGCGCCAAAAATGTGCGCTTTACAAAATGGAGGAGACAGTACAGTTACAATACAATACAATTTCAGTACGGGAGGTAAGAGGGCCCTGCTCGTGAGAGCTTACAATGTAGTAGGAGGGGCAAGTGATACAAAAGGGAATAATTGTTAGATTGCTGTAAAACGCCCAGGTGTGAACCCGGCCTTACTGGCTCTAAAATTATTGCTCTCACTCCGTTTGCGGCGATATGCAACATGTGCGGCACGTAGGCGCACCTGACGCATATATGCGTGTGTATGTGGGGGGGCGCGGACTTAAAAACATTTTGTTTTAAAATAAATGTAGGATACAGCCGGATAGCCCTCGTAAACGCGCGTTTGACACGCGTTTTGTGGGCTGCAAATCGCGGTTAAAACATGCACCGCAAAACGCGCGTCATACACGCATATTTCGAACGCCTAGGTGGGAATCCAGCCTAAAGGAGAACTATGAGGTGAGTGCTTTTCACTCACCTCATAGTTCTAGCCGACCTGTGACAATGAGACTGTCACAGGTCGGCTCAGTAGATCGGGAAGTGAGCGAACGCATACCGGTGTTCGCTCACTTCTCGATCCTGTCACGGCACAGAGCCGTGACAGGGGAGGGGCTGGATTCCCCCCTCCCC